GTGACCTGGCTGAAGTCGGACGCTTAACCGACTGCGCCACCCAGGCGCCCCCCCGTGCCATCATTTTTGATCTAGATTTGGATCTGTGCTCTGCAAATGCATCCATTGCTACATACTTGGGTGTTATTTTAAGAAAGAGCCTTTTGAAAAATCCCCAACTTTGTTTTGAAGAGAAAAAGTTTTGTACCCCACCTTGGTTGCATCAGACTAGAAGTGGGCCCAGTCTGTGCCCGTGACCAGATGTGATAGTAGCTTCAGGCAGGGGAACAGATCATAATAGGGGACAGATTGTAAGTGAGAACCGGGGACATGAATGTCGTGTGTTTCAGGTTGATTCTCTCCTGACCCATGCTCAGGTCCTTCACAACCTCAAAATATGGCATAAGAGCAGAAATGGAGAAGTAGCGGAGATCAGACTGTGCTTAGGACTGCTACCCAGTACCTCTTAAACTTTTCTAACCTTAGTGTTGTTTTCCATGTGTGTTTATTTTATCCAGAGTTTCTTCGGGACACTTTTACTTCCTTGGGCTATGAAGTCCAGTATTTTTTGTACCTGCATGTGGAGAGTATAATCCAGATTCTTCGCCAAGTTGCCTGCATGCCCCAACACCAAGACTACGACAGCTTTGTGTGTGTCCTGGTGAGCCGAGGTGGCTCCCACAGCGTGTTTGGCGTGGATCAGACACAGCCAGGGTTCCCTTTGGATCAGATCAGGAGGATGTTCATGGGAGATGCATGCCCTTCTCTCTTAGGGAAGCCAAAGCTCTTTTTTATTCAGAACTATGTGGTGTCAGAGGGCCAACTGGACAGCAGCAGCTTCCTGGAGGTGGATGGGCCAGCAGTGAACAATGTGGAGTCCAAGGCCAGGCAGCCTGCGCCCTGTACCATCCACCGAGAAGCTGACTTCCTCTGGAGCCTGTGCACAGCAGACGTGTCCCTGTTGGAACGGTCCTCCAGCTCACCGTCATTGTACCTGAAGTGCCTTTCCCAGAAACTGTGGCAAGAAAGGTGAGCCACTCAGGCCGTGGCCCATGCCCAGACCACTTGTTTGTTTTCTTGCTGCCAAGATGGAGAGATGGAGATTACCACTGTGCCATATTTGATGCCCTTCTCTTCAGGGAGAAAAGGATTTTTCATTCCTTGTTGGGGTTGCCTTGGGAAGGATGCACATTTTATGACCTGCCTTTGTGCTTCAGGAGGTCACTTGTTAGTCAGCTTGTAGTTTGGATATTGTTCTTCAAAATAAAGAAATTTTTAATTTTTTTTTTTAATTACAAAAGCAGTACATACTCCTTATTTGAAAAAAAAACAATGAAATATAAATGCTTAAAGCAGAACATAACCAATAGTTATAATCCTGCTTATTAGAACCAATCTCTGTTAGCCAAGTCTTGGTGTATTGCCTTCCAGATCTTTTTCGATACCCACACAATCGTATATAAATATGTTTTTTAAACCAAAATGAAATCGCTATCTGCTATTACTTTGTAGCCTGCTTCTACTTGGTGTAACACTATATCACATACAGTTTTACATGTCACTAGTTACATTTCTAAGCATCATTTTAAACTTTTAAAAAATGTTTATTTTTGAGAGAGAGACAGAGAGAGAGAGAGAGAGAGCATGAGCAGGGGAGGGACAGAGAGAGAGGGAGACGCAGAATCTGAAGCAGTTTCCAGGCTCTGAGCTGTCAGAACAGAGCCCAACACAGGGCTTGAAGTCACAAACCATGAGATCATGACCTGAGCCGAAGTCAGACACTTAACTGAGTCACCCAGGTGCCCCTGTAAGCATCATTTTAATGTCTGTGGAACCATCCACAATATGATTATGGCATAAGTTACTTGACCAATTTTCAGGCGTTGGAAGGTGTTTCGCTTTCATAAAAAAAAGTTTTCGATATCTTTGTAGTTCAGTGTTTGTGCTTATATTTACCGTTTTCTTGAGGAAAATACCCAGAAGAAGAATTACTATGTCCAACAACATGCATTTTTAAAGGTTTGGATGCATTTTATCAGATTGTCGTCTCGGACAGTTAAACCTGCTTTGCATGAGAACACCCATGTCCCCGAGCTCTGCCCGACACTGCATTTTTTTTTATTTCCCCATTTTGACAGTTTGATAGGTGAAAAATGGTACCTGACTCTTCAGGTTTGCAAGTCTTTGTTACACAGACATTTCTGATGTTTATTGGCAAGAATACTTTTCTAAGGGAAACCTTGGTGATCTGGTTTTCATTAAGCTGAATGAAGACCCACTATACTTCCATGTAAGATTAACAGTCCTTTTTCAGCTGTTCCCTCCTTACAGTTTAGAATCATGTTCCTGGGGCGCCTGGGTGGCGCAGTCGGTTAAGCGTCCGACTTCAGCCAGGTCACGATCTCGCGGTCCGTGAGTTCGAGCCCCGCGTCAGGCTCTGGGCTGATGGCTCAGAGCCTGGAGCCTGCTTCCGATTCTGTGTCTCCCTCTCTCTCTGCCCCTCCCCCGTTCATGCTCTGTCTCTCTCTGTCCCAAAAATAAATAAACGTTGAAAAAAAAAAAAGTTTAGAATCATGTTCCTGAGCCATGTGTGAAATGCATTCTGTTGTATCTCTGGGGACCTCAGGAATACATCTCATCGCCTGTGACTCCCCAGCCCCCTCAGTAGTGGCTCAGCAGCAAGGAGTAGGCGGTAGTAGGGATGACTCAGCCTTCCAAGGTAGACACTTCGTGGACCAGCAGTATCCATGGTCTTTTACATCTGTCCTCCATTTGCATAGATGGTCCAGCTAGGTTATCATCTGACTGGAGTGTCCCCAGAATATGACTCGGTTGCCTCTTGGGTGAGGGTCATGGGGCCAGAGTGTTGCAGGCTGGTGTGGATCACTCACCAAGCAGCTTGTAGAGCATTTAGAAAGGAACAATTTCAAGCACTTTCACATCTGTTGCCTCATTTCACCCAAATGACAATCTGTCTCCTCTGTGATATTTGCATGGCATTAATTTTTGCCTTTCTCGTTCCCTCCAGAAGACGCCCACTCTTGGAACTCCACATTGAACTCAACAGCAGTGTGTATGATTGGAACAGCAAAGTGTCTGCTAAGGAGAGGTACTACGTCTGGCTGCAGCACACTCTGAGAAAGAAACTCATCCTCTCTTGCAAATGAAAAGCCAAAAGACTTTCTTAGCTCTGCAGTCTCCATCACTAGCCCCAAGTAGTTTTCAAGCAAATGTATGTGTCACGTGGGTAAGATGGGGTCCTGTTATGGGCTGAAATGACCCTCTGTGAGGAATGTTATCAGGAAGGGGTGTTTCAGCTAAAGCTTCTGGGTTGAAGGCTTTGGCCTCTGTTGCTGAAAGCTTGTCAAAACAGTGTTAGAAAGGAAATAGCTTTGAAACTTTATTATTATTTTTTTAATGTTTATTTATATTTGAGAGAGAGAGAGAGAGAGACAGTGTGTGAATGGGGGAGGGGTACAGAGAAACAGAGACAGAATCTGAAGCAGGCTCTAGGCTCTGAGCTGTCACCACAGAGCCCAATGCAGTGCTCGAACTCACACGCTGTGAGAGAGATCATGATCTGAGCTGAAGTTGAATGGTTAACCAACTGAGCCACCCAGGCACCCTGGCTTTGAAACTTTAAAAAGCAAGTACTGGTTGAATTGGGTGACTCATGATTGTGTTGCCTTCCCTCGTGCAATCAAGTAAACCGGAGCCATGGAGATAAGGTTGCAGTAACACAGTTAACTAGCCTGTGTGTATCCATGCTCCAAGAAGAAAAGTAAAATAAAAAACCAAAACAATGAGGGACACCTGGATGGCTCAATTGGTTGAGAATCCCACTCTTGATTTTGGCCCAGGTCATGATCCAGGGTTGTGGGATCAAGCCCTGCAACACACGCTGAGCGTGGAGCCTTCTTAAGATTCTCTCTTTCTGACAGGCGCCTTGTTGGCTCAGTCGGTTAAGTGTCCGACCTCGGCTCAGGTCATGGTCTCACTGTTCATGGGTTTGAGCCCTGTGTCAAGCTCTGTGCTAACAGTTCAGAGCCTGGAGCCTCCTTCAGATTCTGTGTCTCCCTCTTTCTCTGCCCTTCCCACATTCATGCTCTGTCTCTCAAAAATGAATAAATGTTAAAAAAAAAAAAAAGATTCTCTCTTTCTGAGTATCCAATGGAAAAGACAGTGTCTTTAGCAAATGGTGCTGGGAGAACTGGACAGCAATATGCAGAAGAATGAATATGGACCACTTTCTTACACCATACACAAAAATAAATTCAAAATGGATGAAAGACCTAAATGTGACGCAGGAAACCATCAAAATTCTAGAGGAGAAAACAGCCAACAACCTCTACGACCTCGGCCGCAGCAACTTCTTACACAACACGTCTCTGAAGGCAAGGGAAATAAAGGCAAAAATGAACAACTGGGACCTCATCATGATAAAAAGCTTCTACACAGCAAAGGAAACAACAAAACTAAAAGGCAGCCAATGGAATGGGAGAAGATATTTGCAAATGACATATCAGAGAAAGGGCTAGTATCCAAAATATAAAAAGAACTTAACAAACTCAGCACCCAAAAAACAAATATTCCAGTGAAGAAATGGGCAGAAGACATGAATAGATATTTTTCCAAAGAAGACATCCAGATGTCTAACAGATACATGAAGAGATGCTCAAAATCACTCATCATCAGGGAAATACAAATCAAAACCACATTGAGATACCATCTCACACAGGTCAGAGTGGCTAAAATTAGTATCAACAGATGTTGGCGAGGATGTGGAGAAAGGGGAGCCCTCTTGTACTGTCGGTGGGAATGCAAACTGGTGCAGCCACTCTGGAAAACAGTGTGGAGTTTCCTCAAAAAATTAAAAATAGAATTACCCTACTACCCAACAATAGTACTACTAGGAATTTATCCAAAGGATACGGGAGTGCTGTTTCATAGGGACATATGTACCCCAATGTTTATAGCAACAGTATCAACAAATTATGGAAAGAGCCCAAATGTCCCTCAACTGATGAATGGATAAGGAAGATGTGGATGGATGGATATATGGATAATGGAATTATGTGTAATGGAATACTACTTGGTGATGAAAAAAATGAAATCTTGCCATTTGCAGCAGCATGGACGAAACTGGAGGGTATTATGCTAAGTGAAATAAGTCAGTCAGAGAAAGTCAGATATGTGATTTCACTCATATGTGGAATTTGAGAAACTTAACAGAAGACCATAGGGGAAGGGAAGGAAAAATAAGTTACAAACAGAGAGGGATGCAAACCATAAGAGACTCTTAAATACAGAGAACAAACTGAAAGTTGAAGGGGGTAGGAAGTTGAGAGGGCAGGGAAAATGGGAGATGGGCATTGAGGACAGATCTTGTTGGGATGAGCACTGGCTGTTGTATGTTCTTACATTAGATGAGGAATCTAATCTTGAATACACTGTATGTTAGCTAACTTGACAATAAATTATTAAAATAAAAAAATTAAAATAAAATAATTCTCCAAAAAAAAGATTCTCTCTTTCTCTCCCTCTCCCCTCTCCCCTGCTTATGTACTCTCTCTCTCTCTCTCGCTCTCTGTCTCTCTGTCAAACAAAAACAAAAACAATGAAATGTAACAAACACTTAAAATCTTACCTACCACATACAACCACAGTTAACTTGCAAATTTATTTTCTGTGTACAAGATTCGGATGTTAAATCAGGGGGGCTGTTTTTCTCTGTTCAGGCTACTATGACAAAGTGCCAGAGACTGGAAGGCTTAAAGAAACACTTATTTCTCACAGTTCTAGAGACTGGGAAGTCCAAGATCAAGGTGCTGACACATCTGGTGTCTAGTGAGAACCTGCTTGTGTGTCTGCTAATGACCATCTTCTCATGGTGCCCTCACATGTCAAAGAGCAGAGACAGGAAGCAAACTGTCTGTGATAGCTCTACCTTCATGACCTAGTCACCCCAAACACCCTGCCTCCTAATATCATCACACTGAGGCTTAGGGTTTCAACCTATGAATTTGGTGAGGGACACAAACATTCAGACAATAGCAGTGGCTTTATAATTTGAGATTACTTGTCTGTCTAGAACTCAAGTGACACTTTACAGCAAATAATTTTCTCTCGCAGATTTGATGACATGACCTAAAAAGAGATCATTATTTAAAAATATCATTTAAGGGGTGCCTGGGTGGCTTAGTCAGTTAAGTGTTTGACTTCGGCTCAGGTCATGATTTTGCGGTTCATGAGTTTGAGCCCCACCTTGGGCTCTGTGCTGACAGCTCACAGCCTGGAGTCTACTTCAGATTCTGCGTTTCCCTCTCTCTCTGCCCTTCCCCTATGCATTCTCTCTCTCTCTCTCTCAAAAATAAACATTAAAAAATTTAAAATATTTAAAGTTTTTATTTATCTATCTATTTATCTATCTATTTATTTATTTATAAGTTTATTTATTCTGAGAGAGAGAGAGAGAGAGAGCGCAAAAGCTGGGGAGGGAAAGAGAGAGAGGGAGACAAAGAGAATCCCAAGCAGGTTCCACACTGTCAGAGAGCGAGCCCACACAGGGCTCGAACTCATGAAATGTGAGATGATGACCTGAGCTGAAATCAAGAGTCAGATGCTTAACCAACTGAGCTACCCAGGCACCCCTCATTTAAAATTTAAAAAAATATATATTTATTTTTATATTTTTTGACTTGGTTTTAAATGGTGTGTATTTCTTATGTGCATATTTGTGTGTGTTTTGCTGTGACCAATCAGCAAGACTGAAAAGCATGAAAGGAGTATTCAGACCATTCATAAGCAGTTATTTTTGCTTTTTGTTTTAATGAGTGTGGGACACCTGAGGATACTTTTGAATGTAACATTGTTGAGGGGCACCTGCAAGAATAATGTATATGCCTGTCCTCATGAACCAGAACCTTGTGTTAATTATTACAGAAAGAAACCGAGAGAGATCTTAGAGACCTGACAGCTTTGGCATCCTTTTCTGTTCCATCCAGACCAGGTGATAAGCATTTTCCATTTATTCTGTTTCTTATCTTATGCTGGAATAGCACATGTTTTTTACCTTTTTTTCCTCTTTACTTTTGAGGCGGGATCATCCCCACTCTTGCGAGTAACTTGCCTCAAAATACCATGTATAGGATCTTTGGCTCACAAAAAAATTGCAGACCAAACCCAGAAACAAAGTATTTATTTATATTGCTTTTTAGTTTTATGCATTTTTTGTATATTATTAAGATAACTTGTATTTGCAATAACAGAGGTGGACTTTGAATACATTAAGCAAGCGAAATAAATCAGACACAAAAAGAAAAATACTGTATAATTTTACATATATGTGGAATCTTGAAAACAAAAAACAAACAAAGGACTCATAGAAAAAGACATCACACTTGTGGTTACCAGAGGTAACCACAGAGGTTGGGGGAGAGGGAATTGGAAGAAGGTAGTCAAAAGGTACAAACTTCCAGCTATGAGATAAGTAAGTACTAGGGATGTAATGTACAACAGTGGCTAATACTGCTGTATGATATACGGGACAGTTGTTAAGAAATTAAATCCCAAGAGTCCTCATCATGAAGAAAAAAATTTTCCTTTGTCCTTTCTTTTCTTTTTATTGCATCTATATAAGAAGATGGATGTTAGTTAAATTGATCATGGTAATCATTTCATAGTATATGTAAATCAAACCATCACACTGTATGCCTTAAAATTTAGACAGTAATGTATGTTAATTATTTCTCAATAAAACTAGAAAAAATATTTGAAAAGGATAATAAATCTAAATGAATTTAAAAGGTAACCTATAAGTGAAAACTTGATACATTTAATGAATTAAATTTCTGTATATAAATATTGATGGTAAACTTAATCAAGCATTTATTCAACTGAAACCACAAGTCTAATACATTAGATTTTCTTAAATGTTTTAAACACACTAAAAAATAGACAATTTACAATGATTACAAAATGGATCAGTACATTCGGTTACAAAAGTATGTGTATGATGTACTTAGGCTTATTTCTTCATTGTGTTTACATTCCTTTTTTTTTTTTTACCTTTCAAATTTTCTAAGATTATGGCAAAAATGGATAGTCTATGATTCAGGACTTGAAGTGTAAGATTTAGTGTGCCATTCAGGGTGTTTTACCTGAGTCTGTCATCCAGTTGGATTAGCTGTTTTTATAGTTAGACTTTATTCACTGATTGAGCTTTACCAATTGCTGGAATTATTGACTTTGGTATCAGATATGTTTTGATTTTTTGTAACCTCGTTTCTTCGATGTATTCTTGTTATAGTCTAATTTCTATTTCTATTTTAAAATAAAAAGTAGTAATATGATATCTTGTATTCTATTCAGGACTGAATTTTGAAAATCTTTCACATTAACGTGAACCTTCTTGATTAACTATTTTATCATTCAAAATGATAGTAAGTAACAGATGC